CACACACCGGGGCCGTCGCAATATGCGTTTTCGCATTTGCATATTATGCAAAAACGCATAAAAACCAACAAAAAGGATTCTCTCCTTTCGTAGCTTACTGCTCCGTGTCCTTCGTATGCTCTTATCACGATCTTCCGCGTCTTTTTATCATAAAATACTATTGTTTAGCGATCGACCTAACATCTCAGTGCAGGCCTGCAGCGAACACCAAACATAGGACATTGGCGCCAAAAATGGGCAAATACATCAGAAAGTCCGCGTAAAGAATTTCACAATATGTGTCTTTGCACTTGTAAAAGTGCGCATAAAAATTGAAATTCATGAGTCAAATAAACCCGCTGTTCGCATTGTAGTTTTCAGCCACTGAACGGTGGAACAACCTAAATAATTGGCCAATGCCCGTTCGAAGATGCGTTTTTTGCACAGTTACCTCGCAGGTTTTTGTTGCTAATGGCACTGCCTTTTCCGTCAGATGCTTCTACCCAAGAGAATAGAGAGTAGCCACCACGACTGTTAGGAATTATTTCAATGACTTCCAATCAATGCTCGAAAAATTCAGCACCCTAAATGCTTCGGTTGCGGAGTTATGTGTTAGCACGTGACTGGCAAAGCCAGTGCCGTATTTGTGTGCGCTTGCTCAAATACGGTCCTGGGCAATGCTCGCAAAGTTTCAGCTCTCTAGCCGCTCTGGTTGCGATGTTACGTCAAATTTCACGTGTGTGTACATGAGATGTGTGTGAGACATGAAAGTGACGTGAAAGTTGTTTTTACATCCGTCTGGGTTAATCCATTCTGTTCCAGGTTAATTCATCCTGCACATCCCACTTCGGCCTAATTGCATCCGCTTTGTCTGAGGTAGTGCGAGCAATTGTTCCTTGTCTTGTAAAAACTGGCAAATGAAATACGCCTATTCACTGTTATGGGCGCCCTTATTTGCCAGTAAAGCAAGAAATGCGTTATGGCTGTTGTTGCTGGTGAAAATTAGCACGATCTTGAATGCAGTCAAAATTACATTTCCCAAAAAAACATCAAGCTTAACTTTTTTTTAGATATCACGGAGTGTGAAGAGAGATGAGTAAGATGTAGAACAGAAAGGGGACTTCAAATTTGTGCGTGATTACTTTAAAACGAAGAAGCAGAATGTATACTTACATTGGGATCCCAGGAATAGTGCAAAGGACAATATTAACAGTAGTATCTGGATGATATTTGCGTTGAGGTCCAAAAATTACTCGTTTCGTCCAGTCTATTTCGGTTGGTGCTTCAGCTAAGCGATGGAGCAAATGTGCATAATCACCCACAGCCATACCCGCCAGCAACTGAATAATAGGCTCAAATAACGTCGCACCAGGCTTGCAGGTGCAATCAAGCATTTTTGCATGATTCCATACTCTGGAGAGATCGCCTGTACTATTAGAGCATGACTGCGGTAATGCAGTTTGAACATTTTTTGCGTCTGTGCGCAGGGCTGTTGCTTAGGCAGAAGCTCATCTTACGCTCGCACATGAACAGCAAACATCTACAAAAAAATCCGCTTCCTGTTCAGTCTGGTTGTCGAGTTAATTGACAACGTCACGAACTAAATATTTACTTGCGCGCACACGAGATCCAAGCGCGCTTTGAAGTTGAATTTGAAATAACTTGGTCGCACGCTGACATAGAATATTTTGGTAAAGTTCTAGGTCCTTGGCATGATTGATTGGCTGTATCGGTTTTCACTGCTTTTGTATTTGACGTGTCTAAATACATGACGCAAGCGTGCGCCAGTGTAGAATTAAAAATTTCCAACTCCCACAAGGAAATAGGACTTCCCTGCGAACTCCAGATGCCCATCTTCTCTGGTTCCCGAAATCGCTCCTGACCAAGAAAATGCTTGTTTTCATTTAGGTATCTGTACCTGAGACTCAAATGTACATGAATGATAATAGAAATGTACATGAATGATAATAGTTGCGCATGAGGTGGCGATCTGCTTCAAAAGTTTCAGTTTGTGGCTTGTTTGGTTGCTGAACTGAAAGTGGGTGACAAAATCGTAGCAAAAACACACTTGTCCGAGAAGATGCGGAAAAATGCTTTCATGCTAGCAATATAAGCATACGATTTGTGACAGAACAAAAATGTTCGTAGAGAAGAGAAAAACTCGAATCCACTTCAAGCTACTTATGGGTGTTGTTCTAGTAAGTGCTCTATGTTGGATGCCAAATATTACAGTTATATTCGTTATCGTTAGAAACGCTATGCTAATACATAATGATAATACGCAAAAAGCGGCGTTGTTGCCCAGCGGCGTACCAGTTTATTTAACTTGACCGACTGCTTCCGCAATGAATTCCGGCACCGGTGGAGCCCTGCAACGAATACTGTAACAGCCCGCTGATAGAAGGGATACTAGGACTGCCTAAACAATCAGTATATATATATATATATATATATTGAGACGTCCCACACGCCAGAACTGCTAACCAGGCTTTTCGATCCCGCGCTGCAGACTTCCAGTTAGCTACCCACCGTCTGCTCGTCGTATTTGCGCCTCAGCTTTTTGATGCCTGGTACACATCGGATTTTTGACAATTGGCAAACAAGGAAAAGGAAAGATGAATGGCCAGCGCACCGACGGCCGGTGCGAAGATGCGTTTTCCGCATAATTCCCCGCAGGTTTTTGTTGCTAACGGCATAGGTTTTTCCGGCAGGTGCTTGTAATTAAAAGAATTGAGGCAGGCCGTCAGGACTGTCGGGGGACATCCCCTTAAAATCTAGCTTTCCTCACACCCTAGTTAGCAATTTACCCGCAAAAACTTTCACGAACCAGTGCGTGCGTACCACGAATACCAGGCGTCTGGGTTTGAGCTCATTAACACCTTCGTGAAGGGGAAACATTTCCTTGAAATTACAGCTTCTAGCTTTTCAGTTTCCTTAGTTAACAACTTATCCGAAAAAACTTTCACGGGCCCGTACGGGGTATTATGCGGGTAAGAGCGCCCACTTTGGAAATTGGGGTCCGTGCATGCATTTTGATTAGGTTCACAATGTTTCAGTCCCGTAGCTTTCATAGATCTCGAGATGAAAAATCGGTACAGACAAACACAAAAACAAACACACACACACACACAGACAACCCCTCGTCAATATGGGTTTTCTCCATTGCACACGTGCAAAAAACGCATAAAAAGAAAGTCAAAAATCAAATTTCCTCCGCAGCGATTTTTACACACCTTGTCTCCCTCCCCCAGTTTCTAACAACCCAACTGGCCAGTGTTCGGAGAGATCACGTATATCTCTACGTGATTGGCATTTGCTACCTTTTGGGTCACTTTCGAGTGCCTTCGCTTCTTGTCGAGAGTAAATCTGAAAGGTGTTTGGACAGAACCTGGGCTGAGACAGCGTTGTTGACAGTAAATGGACGATATCCATGGCGGCAATATTTGCCTGAAGACATGATAAATCGCGAAATTTCACTGGCATCCTTATGATGATCGTAAAAATCACCAGCACATTAAGCACTAAGGACAGTGGGCCAATAGTGTAGTAAAGTTTGGCAGATGTCGTATAAAATGCGTCGTTTGGTTTGACAATATTCATCTCTGAAGGTATGACTTTGCTCATCTTTGTCATCAACAATAAGCCTAGGGGGACACAGTCCTTCTGCCGGGACAGACCTGTCTACTTATGGACTTTCAGGACGAAGCACAACAAGTTTCCTCATACGGTTTTCGACCATGACGCTCACGTGTAAAAGGGAAGATCGCATCTGCTGCGAGCACAAACCAAGAATTCTTCAAGATACAGAGCCATCCAATACGTTGCTGAGATTGTTCTGTATGAAAATCCATCGCACTCCTTGATGTTGAGCCTGTCAACATACGCATGCACGCAAACACTTTTTGCAGATTTCGTATTTTCAAGCCAGCAAAAGCCCAGGCTGGAATTCATCAGGCGTGCCGGTGTGATCATGGTTTTTGCACCAAAATTGGAGCACTCACTGCATGAATGGTTGTTGCCTTAAACCTATCTTTTGTTCTCGCTAAATCATCAAAAATTTTGCATAAAGGGAATGAATAATTATGCGTTTTTGTATATATGCAAATGAGAAAACGCATAATATAATGACCCCGGTGTTTGTTCATGCGTGTGTGTCTGTGTGTGTATCTGTCCGTCTGTCTGTCTGAGTATTTCAGTCCGGCACCCAAGCAAGCTTCGGCGTCAAAATTTTGCGAGTGGGTTCCTCGAGCAAGTGTGCAAATGTGAAAACGCATAATGTGACGACCCCGGTGTGTGTCTATGTGTACCAATCCTCATGCATGTCTAGGCGCCGCGTATGAGCGCGTGAAAATTTTGGAGGGAAAATTGCTAACTCGGGAACCAGAAAAGCTAGAAAGCTCAAATTTTGAGGTTATGTTCCCCGTCCATATAGAGCTCAAAGATTTCAAATTCAGTCTTGAGGTTTGAGCGGTTCCCACGTACGACCCGTGAGGGTTCCTGACAGGAAAATCGCTAACTTAGGACCCAGGAAGGCCAGGAGGCTGAAATTTTAAGGGGCTGTTCCCGGTTCATGTACAACTTAAAATTATCAAATTCAGCCCCAGGGCGTTCGTGGTGGCGACGTACGGCCCCGTGAATGTTTTTGGCAGGAAAATGGGCAACTCGGGAACGGAGAAAGCTGGGAGCCTGAGATTTTAAGGGAATGCTCCCTGTTCAAGTACAGCGTGGGCAATTAACCTTCCAAAGTTCGAAGACCAGTGTGTCACACATTCCTAGCTGCTGGATTTTCGACTAGTCTCATTACAGCACGAAACAGTGCAAAAATCCATGATCGCACGGGCCCGTCCGCTGCGCGTCGCCAATGAGTTTTGAATTTTTATGTGTTTTTGCTTACATGCAAACACAAAAACGCACATTGTGATGATCTCGGTGAGTGCGTGCATGTGTATGCTCATGTGTGTGTGTTTGCGCATGTGTGGGTGTGTGTGTGTCCGGATTTTCAACTTGGTACCCAAGAAAGCTGCGGTGCCAAAACTCTGCCCACGGGTTCACCGGCCAAGTGCCACTCCAGGACAGTGGCACCAACCCTTACGCAAATCTGGGCCCCACGTACGAGAAGTGAAAGCTTTGGCGGGGAAATCGCTGTCTCGGGAACCAAAACAGCTAGAAAGCTTAAATCATAATGTTACGTCCCCGTCCACCTGGAACACAAAGATTTCAAAATCAGCTCCTAGATATGCGTGGTTCCCGCGTACCGACCCGTAAGGGTTCCTGGCGCGAAAATCGCTAACATGGGAACCAGGAAAGCCAGGTGGCTGAAGTTTTAAGGGGATGTTTCCAGACCATGTACGACTTTAATTTATCAAACTCAGCCCCCGGGCGTTCGTGGTGGCGACGTACGGCCCCGTGAATATTTTTGGCAGGGAAATTGCTAACTCAATAGCGAGAAAATTTGGAAAGCTGAATTCCAACGGAATTTAGCCTGTCCAAATACTGCGTAGACTATTAGCTTTCCGGACTTCGTACTGGATTTCCGAGCAGTCTCATTACAGCACGAAATATTGCAAAAACGCATGATCGTAGGGGCTCAACCGGTGCGTATCGCCAATGATTTTTTTAACGTCGTTCCTTGAAAATGACCTGGCTGTTCAGTGAACAATTTTGTCGCCAAAACTTTTAAATGCCCGCATGTGAAAGCCACTCACACCTAGAAGTTGAGTTTGAGACTCACTCCCCTAAAATTTCAGCCCTTCGTAAGTCACTGAGCCTCGACTTTTCAATCTCATTTGCTTGCTCAGCGAATTCTCTGTAAAAAACAAACATACTGGCTTTCTTTCGCAACTAATTACGTTCCGTGTAGGTAGACATATGTGAAACTTAAAATTCCAAAATTTTTCAACCTGCAACCTGAAGACTTACCACAGATAAGGAAGAAGCAACTGTGATTAAAATTATTGTTACAACAGATAGGAAAAAATCATGATTAGCGTTATTCTGCTGGGCAGTACAGGCAATTTACGAACAGCACAGGCAATTTTGTGGACATTACAGGCAAAGATTAATTATTTTGATTCCCAATACAGTAGCACTAAATGTTCGCTGAAAAGATGATGCACGTTAACCGCGGAAAAGGTGGAGGATTGGGCTCCGTTTGCGAATCTGATCTGTCTGCTTGTGAAGTCTGACCGAAAGAGATGACCCGGAGAAAGTAATAAAATTGCAGATTTATTACATCCAAGGATTGACATCAACAGTCCGGGCGATCATAGTGACGCCAGTAAGTTTGATCCAGATCCTTCCTTATTCTGCGAACTATCAGTGGAAATTG